AATGTAACCTTGGAAATAACAAAAGCATTGCTGACACGTATACAATCCTTCTGCATATTCCTCTTGAGGTTCAGCTAAATATTCCGATCTTGTTTTTCCAGTTGAAGAACACATTCTTTTCAATCAGTGACAAAATCAGCAGATCTTTAACTTCTTGATCGGCTTTAAAAACCATCGTGTTGAATCAAAAATTGTTTCTGATACGCCACAACATGCTGTATCACAAACATGCAGACCATTTCATCCCTAATCGCATAAATCTTAGAGTTTTTTCAAACTCTGCTCATTAATAAAGTCTGGATTATTATACAGAAAGCTAAACAGAAAACCTGGAAAGGTGAATTCCTAACGAAGTTACGTCCCCTCAAAGATGCAAAATTTACCAAGTTGATGCTCAGTATGCCTATCTTCAGCAACTTCTAATTTAGCTCAACCTCAACTGAACCTAATGACTTTTAGTTCATTAGATTTGTTATTTATAGTTTACACTAGAAAATTTAATTCTGCTAGATAACTGTACAGAAACGGTAAAAAAAATTTCAAATATGTATAAGAAAAAAGTATCTCCAAAAAATTTAAAAATAAAAAAATATTTTCTTAAAAATTTTCTGCTCTATGATAGATCACAAACTGAAAACGTTTTCCGGAATCAAGAATTACCAACGAGAAGAAACTGTGAGGCTAAAAAAGTTACTTTTCTTAGTGTGGTTGTACGCATTTTATGATAAGGAAACTGCCTTTAGGTGCCACTGAATGACTACCGAGAGTGACTGTAATAATTTAGTATGTTTTATTCTTCAGGAATTTATTTTTAAAGTTATATTCTACTCTAAAACATTAATATTTGTAATTCCGCAGAGTTATTGGAAGCTGCCTTCATTTCAGTGTCTCCTGCGTCCGACACATTGCTGACAACTTAAAGGGTCAGTGAGGCGTATTTATCTCACAAAAAAGACGCACCAGTAACGTTTTATGTAACAGAAACTTTCTTGAACAGCCAGTTTTGTGTTTTAAGAATGCACGTGACGCGGGGAATTTTATTTCAACACTTGAGAGGTTGACAGAGAAAGAGATTTCACAGCTTTTAAAATAGTATCTGTAGTTTACTTGTCAGAATCCTGGTTTTACTAGCGAACATGACCTCATTTCATCGTTCTTGCTTCAACACCTTGTGCTTTCATTCTTTAAACCGGCTAGCGTATAACAACTTTCGCAAAGATCTGAAATCCGCCGTTGATTGGTTAGAGCAGTGAGTTTTCAGACTTGCACATAACACAAATTATGCATTAAATGCTCAAATTTGACGGAAAGCAGGCGAGATGCAGAAGAAGCTAGTACAATGGCTGCTTCGTATATCACTATAGAGTAATAAATTGATAATATTTCAGAATAAGATATAATTTTTCACACAAATCTCCAACGATTAAAGAATGCCGAATTTTTTTTTTTCTTTTTTTTTTTTGACTCTTATGACAGTTCTGGCATTGTAAAATGTGTGAGATTACTGTAAAACTGGCGGGTTTTTTCCATTCTCATAGTCTTTTCCGATCAGCAGTTTTCGATTTCAGAAAGATGCCCCCAAAAATCTTTGATACGTTATATAAAACAGTGAATTCTGTACAAATTCACGTTTCTTCTTCGGATTAAAACTACGTTTTTTAAAATACTTCTTTAAAACCTCTTTTATATTGTATCTACACAATTACTTACCAAAATTATATCATTCCATATTTTTAAAAAAAAAAAGAAGGAATAAAAAATCTAGTTTACTGAAAAAGGGTTGGGTTTCTTTACGGATGAACCGAATTACAAGTCTCCAAACACGGGCCTATCAAACTCCAAACTGGTGAATTTTGCAATTGATGGAGTGTGACTTGCCGGGAGTTCACTTTTCCAAGTTCTCTCTTCAACTTTCGGTATAGTGAGCTAGACCCTACCAATGAGCAAAATTTGAGAAAACTTCAGTAAGTAAGGCAAAAAAAATTGTGCGAACGGGCATGGAACTGTCCTTGCGTTTTATTGTAATTCCTGTTCGCGAATCGTCAGCTCGAAAACAATCGGATTTAATGGCATCTCGCCATTTTGGCAAACTGCCAATACTAAGGAGTTCTATTCAGTAGCTGTCGTTCACCTTTCAGTGTAGATTTTGAGAGTTGTACGCATGAAGTTGGCGGCCAAGTTGATATCATGCTTCTATTAGTGACTGGGTTATTTGGGGAGATTGGTTCGGATTCCGGAAATTTGCGGCTTGATCATTTTAGCAGCTGTGAAATAACTTTCGTATAAGTTGTTTGGGCGATGTTTGTTGTTTTCTTCTACTGCATTCTGTTCATGAAGTCAACCTGTATTCTGGAGTTAAAATGTGCGTACATCCTTAAAATATTGTTCGGTTCTGGTTTACTTTGTATACGTATGTATATATATGTAATTAGAATACTCTCAGTTGGGAGTGAAGTTTCAAAAGACGTTTTTTTCTTTTGAGTCTTTGTGTAAGCTTCCTTGTGCATGCAATTGTTAGAAAATGTAGTATGCTGTTGCAGTTTATGTCGCCCACCAATTTTCGCTCGTTTCGCTGACAAGGTTATATATAGTCTTCAGAATGCATCATCTTTATTTGTACAGTTTTGTGAAGAAGACTACTCATCGATAACAAGGATTACAGAGGAAGTTTAGAAGTAAAACTTAATGAGAAAACCAGTTCTAGAACGGTTTTACCTGTATTTTAGCAGATCGGCGACAGTAATAGGGTTATAGCGAAACTGTACAGTAGGGAAGGTGCACAGTGAAACGACTTTTTGAAGACAAGCAAAAAATACTTTTTGTGCAATTCCATCTCAAACTGAATATCGTTGTTCAGTCTACTTTTTAGATTTTTTTCACGCTTTGCTGACTTGAACTTTAATATTGAGAAAGTTTAATTCGAAAAGAACATATTCAATATAGTTAGACAATGTTGAGGCGACAAAGAAAGTACGTTTTTGGGTGGTTGTAGTTTTGTCTCTTCGAGATGGCTCTTCAGTTTTTTTTTCTTTTTTTTCAAGTAGCATATCTCCGACAGGTTTGAAAAAGTGCTGGTATGCTTACATTAATAAAATATTTAAAAGGTTGAAGTAAATAAAAATTTTGAAATTTATTATCTAGGAGTGCGATTTCTCAGTTTTTTGGAGAGTATTTTTCGCGTAATATATAAGGATTGCTACTTAAGTCCTCAGTAGGCGGTAAAGTTACAGGGCAAAAAGTAATTGGGGTGGCAAGACTTTAGTATTTTGACTGCTATAGAAACGCATATTTTGATTCCTCCTTGTGAATTTAATGATTAAAAGGAACGCAAAAGAAATTCTTTGGCACGACAAATACTTTAAAGTACGCTGCAGGTATAGAATGTTTTTTCATTTTGCTTGACATATTGCCTGTAACTTTCTTTCCATTAAGTATCTGGTTTGAAACTTTTACTTATTGTGGAGGAGGTTTCTTTTTAAAACATTTTGAACGACTTAAAGGGTTGCGTTTTTGGATATGATGTTTTGAAGTTTTACTTTTCCTCTGAGCTGTTAAATATTGTGTTAGTCAGCACATTTCTGATTCTGTAGGAAGTATCTTGTTAAGTGGGGAAAGTGTATTTCCATTTTGGAATTTCTCGTATGTAAAGAGATATATAAGTAAATATATATGTACGATTTCAAGAAATTTATATATTTCTTTACTTTTGAAGTTCTTTTCATCAAATATTATTTTTTTCTATTGATAGGATTTCTCGCTAAATATGTGAAGGAAATGAACTTTGCGGTACTGCATCTTTAGCTTGAGGTGGATCAGAAGTTAAGCTTTTTAGTCATAAATCTATTTCTTGACTTTTACTTATGCCACTCCTTGGAGTTTTGTTTCAGCTTGGAAAATACCAGTATATCGCAGCCTTGAAGCCATTTGCACATTTATTTATTGGCTGGTACTGTGTTTCAGCGATGAAGCATTTTTCCATTGAAGAACTAGTAGTGTGTTAATGGGATATGAATAAGCTATTGTATTACTGTGAGAAAAACCTTGTATATAGCAGTTTGAAAGGCCGCACTCGCAAAAGTTATATACCCATCTCGCGTCCCATGCACGAAAACTGTTGACGTTGGAAATGATATAAATAGACTTGGAAAAAGGCTGTTTAATATTAGATCCTTAAAATTGTTGTAGCGCAAAGGAATTTTTTAAAACCCTAAACTGAATTGGTTACGTTTAAGAATTCCTCATTTAATGGATTAAAGTGATTTACTGGCAAAAAAGGGATGGCAGTCAAACGCAGGGGAGGTGGGGAGAAAATCAAAGTGGGTTAACACTGTTTTAGTGTTATCTTTCTTGTCATCTTTTATTTTTCTAGTTTTCTGTGTTGAAATTGCTTTTTCTCATCGTTTAACTTCTCCTCTTATGAGGCGATACATTTTGGATCGTGTTGGTGTGTCTTGTTAGATTTTATTTTATTAACCTGATTTAGGTTCTTTATTAGATTTTTAATGTCAAACGTAGGAGGCAGTAGCATTCGGAAACGGAAGAATGGCGATGTTTCCTCTATCAAGGAGAACAGTATTCCAGGGGTCTCAGTGGTATGGTTATAGTGTCTTACTTGGTCATATTGGGTTGTCGTGTGTTCGTGTTACCGGTGAAGCAGAATTTAAAGAATAATAAGTTTTTATTTTACTGGACAACGATTAATTTAGAGGAGTAAAGTAGAAAAAAAAGAGCGGGTTGTAGCCATGAAATATTTATCAGCAGCTTTCCAATGTTCTTCGCATGCTTGTATTTGAAACTTCTTAAGGATTGCAAAAAGGAAGTAGCAAATGTTGAACTGGATGCGGGAAACCCTGAATTAAAGTCTCACACAGAAACAAGAAAGGTTTTGCGGCCGTTTCGCCGAGCATGGAAGTATAAAATAGCCGATGAAATGCTTAGCGATGAAGTAGTTTGTGATGAAATGCAGAGGTGTTCCTATGTTAGTGGTCGTACCTGTGTGGCCTGTAGGAATTTTCGTTTGAAGTCACACTTGGATGCAAATGGTTTTTGTGAAGTCGTAAGTAGTTAAATGTTTTTTTAAAATACTTGAGAAGTTCACGAGATAGAGAAGGACTTTGTTTCTTTTGTTACATTCAAGATGATGTTTAGCACAAGCGGTTTTTTCGTCAGCTAAAGCAGTTATATATAATGGAGCAAAGGCAAAGCGACCCGGGGTTTTTCACCGCAAAAATTCTTGATGAAGATGAATCGGTGGCTTTAAGGTAAGATTGCCGGATCAATTAGTTAATTACAGAGCAACTGTAGTTTTTAGGACCTTGTAGTTACCGAGAATGATTGACATTCTTCAGGTAGATAGTGTACCAAAGTATTTATTTTTAGCGATGAGGATGAAACTTTGGCTACGTCGTCGGATTGGCCTGCTTCATGTGAGGATCTTTATAGTGGTTCATTCGAGAATGATGGCTGTCATCCTCTTCAGTATGACATTTTTACTCTAATTGCTTTATTACTTCAAGGAGTTCTGGAAGTTTTTTGGTTTTTTAATGTACTTTATTACTTGAACTTTACTTTCATTTTTTCTGTGTTTCAGAAATGCGCGTATTCTTAGCAGTGAGGAATGCCTTTTAATGAAGCTTGCGCTGCTGCAACGTAAAAAACACGCTTTGGAGGAGTTCAGAGAGATGCTGCTGGAAAAGGCGAAAAGGAAAGCAGCACTCTATAAAAAGAAAATTGCTGAGGAAAGCAAAAAAGGTAGTCCGGCTGAAGGCTGATTATTATTCTAGTTTGGATTGGATTTTTTTTTTCAATCTTGTGAAGCTTTTAAACTGTGTTCTTATTTTTCTTTGTGTCTTCTTATCCTGAATCATTTATCAATTATTACAGGACGTTTAGTGGCTACAACCAGAAGAGAAAAGGCAGTTATGCAGTCTTTTTATGCGTTAAAGACTTACAGGCGCTGGATGCGATCTTCTTTGTCGCAATACATGAAAAGAAAGAATGAATTACGTGTGAAGTTTGAGGATCATGGTTCTGACAGCCTTGCTTATCTTCAACTGAAACATAGTGAGACTGCGTTAAAAAGATGTGGTTTTTCAAAGAGCGAGGTTTGTTACCTTGTATCTTCCATAGTTGGATTTAGACTTTGTAGTACAGTTTTTTTTAGGTCAGACTTAGGAAAGAAGGTGAAACTGCTGCGAGTTCTTCTAATGATTTGAGATGTTCAGAAGCTGTAGTTCCAGGATCTTCTTTCTGCCCAAAGCGTAATCTTTTTGTCACTATTCGGGTTTCTCTCCTGTATTTTTAATATTTGTTTTGCGGACTGGGTACTTGGATACTTTTTTTAGACATTATAGAAGACAAGGACCAGAAACTCTTCCCAGTCTGTCCAACTTGCCATGGGTTTACTCATGACTCTGATGCAGGCAGGCGTTCATTTTAAGTATTAGTAACAGTATTTTTTTAACAATTTCATTTGGGTTTTCCATTTCTGATCAAATTGTTAAGCCAGATATTGGAGGTTTATAGAAAAGTCCTCAGCCATATAGACTTTTCATTACCTAGTTTTTCAGTACTTTGGTTTATGAAGAAGGATGTGGGGTTTTTGCACTACGAAAGATGTCCTGCTTACCTTAAGGTTCAGGCCGTCTCGAAAAATCTACTTAACCTATCTCCTGCTAAGGTTTTACCAGTGGAGTCAAATAAAGCGGTTATAATTTTCGATTTGCGATAAAGAAAAAACCAGCTTTGCTATTATTCCTACTAATTGAGCCTGAATATTTTGCTGTTTACGACAAACAGTTGTAGCTCTTCGCAGTCTTGAGCAGTAGAATCATTTATTTTTAGATTTTGGTCGAAGATTATAGTTTTGGTCAAATGCAGTTTGAAATTTGTCACTATCTGTTGTTTTTTGTTTATCGTTAATTTTCAGAATAAGTTTTCGACTTCTGTAACTGTGGTTGGGAAGGACACTCAAGGTATTATTAACATTTTTGTCCCTCAAAGTTCCTTATTTGCTATTAAGTTGAACTGGTTTGAAATTGGTTGATCTCTTTCTAGCTGAATGTGAAAATGATGGCAAACGCTTCTTGGGCTCAGGAGTATCGATGGAGAAGATCAGTAAGAAAAAAAGTTTCGATGACAGGGAAGTTAGTGAGACGAGTGTGAAGTATGTTGTCATCGCTAGCGGTGATGAAGATGCTGAGGACGCTTTCAAGCTTCCGGGGGAACCTATTACAAGGAGGCCACTCTGTGTTCCCGGAATAGCTCCGCAATTTTCTACTCGGAACAGACCATTCCATGAAACAAAAGTGTACTCGTTAGTTTTTTTTTTTCTCATAGCATTGTT